CTTTTAAAGGCCAATATCATCTTGACTTAACATCACAGCGATATATCAAGCATCAATCATCAGTGAGAGGATCAACAAGAGCCATTTGATGTTGCAGAAAGACACTCAACTGTGCGTAGATATGTCCTGACGTTGGATGGAAAGCCTGCTCTAATGGTACTGTGCTTTGTAATTTGGACACATTTGCAGGATTCACAATAAAAATGGACTGAGGAGAACCAAGCAAACAAGTGTGCTGATTTACTGTCTGGGTTTTGGAGTGTCTTTAAGCAGCTTTAAGCAGAATGAACAAGAACAGACAAGATAAATGACGAGAAAGGCTCTCCTCACATGTGCAAAACATTTTCCACAGCAGAACAACCAGGGGCCAAATGAACTGTCTGTTCACTACGTGAAGCATGAACAAATACCTTTCACATTATGTCAAGACCCTGGAGACATAGATGTGTGTCTGACTGGAGAGAGAGAAAGAGAGAGAGAGAGAGAGAGCATTGCTTTGCAAATGAAGATAACAGATTATTATAAAACATTATGGTTCCCTTAAATTCAACCAATGCCAGGTTTGAAGTATGCTATAAACACTGTTTGTGATCTGAAAGTGGTGTTGGCAAGGTAATCTTAGGGGATGGTCGGAAAGTGACAAAATTAACTGTAAAGTCCCTTCAACCCAATGCCATGAACAGAATAAGAGGCACAGAAAGATGAGATGAGATGAGATGAGACAAATAGATTTAGACTGATTATGTCAGCTAAAAACGATGGCTGACAAGAACAGAACTAACTGAAAGCGGTCACTGTTATGAACTGCTGCTTCAAGTGCAATACACTTAAGCAGCATTGTAGAGCATCAAATAATGTGACATGTGCCAACTGACCCAACGAAGGGAGTAAACACAACAGAGGTAGACCAAACACCACTGGAGTACAGGCTTATGTAGAAAACAATCAGCGCAGGTGTTTGGTGTGTGTCAGACGCAGCTGGCATATATTGCCCTTGAGAGTCTAAAAGCTCAAAATTGAAAGCACCAGAGAGTCATTTTTTAAAAATTATATTACTTTTCAAGCAATAGTGGTGTTGCTGTAGGGATGGCAATGGCAGTTGGGCAGTTCACCACTTTGATTCAGACTGAAATATCTCAACAACTGCTGAATGGATTCATAAATAAACATACAGCTACTATGTACTCACTTTAAATCTCAACATATGACAACATCAGTATTTTAAACTGTATCTTTTGTCCTGACAATACAGCCTAACCCATAAATTCAATGTGCTTCTATATTCATTTATTCCCACCCAGGAGGGCTCTTAAACCAGGAAGTGCCAGGAATTACCCACAATTCCCCTTTGGGGATAGAGGGTGGGATAAGAGTTTGGACTGTCAGTGCCCCTTTTGCTGCTCATTAATCACTTAGGCTACTGTGGGACAGGCCACCAGGGATCAACTACACACACATCCAAGAACACACACTTGCAAATTTAAAAAAGGTGTGAGTGCAGTAGCAATGAATAATCTGTCTCTCCATGAAACAATCGATACACGCAAAACAGAGAAACCTGATTCAGTTTTGAGGGCTGTTTCCCCGCTGATAGAAATTCACAGAGACACGCACACACAAATAGTAATGCTGTTCATCACCATAGAGAGGAGACAGAAATAGAAGGAAGATGAACACAGCTCAGAGTTCCCCGGGGCTGGTCAACAACTCAGAGAGAAGAGAGCGAGAGGGGCACAAAGAGAATCCTTTCAATAATGGAGGCTCTCTTCATTCAGAAGGCTGGGATCATGTCACACAGCCTCATGTCCCTTCCCAGGACGACTTCCGGGACTCATATTTACATGCATGCATGCATTTTTTTGTCTGTGTTGGGGAATGTGTTTTTAAAAATAATATCCTAGCATCCTAAAATGTCTTTAAACCTGTAATCTCCAAATCATATCTTCAGTATTCAAATGTACATACACTGCATGTTAAGTGGTGCTACCAGCAGAGTTTCAGGAGCGGGACCACACATCAATCACGTCACTCCCAGCATTTCCATAAATACCCACAAGTCCCATCTCCTCTTCTTCACTCTAACATTTTGCACCCCTCTCGCCCATTCCTTTCTCATCTCCTTCTTCCTCTCCACAGGGTTACAGGGGGGTATGTCGTAGCTTTCCCACAACACTTTTGAATGTCTATTCAGCAACTGCAAGCCTCATATATCTTTCTGCTTTGTTCATTTAACTATATCTGTTGATTGTGGTCCTTGCAAGTGAAAGCCCCTTTGTGCAGAGTTTTTATGTGATCTTTCAAATGATTCTGATGATAGAACTATTTGTAGATAATTGAGATAATCACAGTGGAAACTTGTGCACTCTGTGTGTCTTTCAGGCCAAAGTAAGACATTTTCAAATACTAAATAAAGTTGATTTAAATTTACACGTAAAATTACTAGTCATGTGGAGTACTACACAGTTTTTAAAAATTGCTGTGTAATGTTTCCTGCGGTTCTGGAAGAGTTTTGTCAAACAACATGACCCCTGATATCATCATGGTTATCTCAGTTTGGGTTTGGAGACTAGGTTTTTAAACAACAGGTGCATGTTACAAATTGTGGTCATGAATAAGCATCAAAGTTTATTCTTGACTGGAAATGGTTGTTTGAGTCACCCAAAGTGAAGTGACTGTTGTTGCTACAGGGGCAGCGCGGAGTACACAGGAGCTGTTTTCAATAACAGCACTTCTACTATAAAGCTAGATGAACAAATCATTCTCTGTGCAGCACTGTGCTGCCTGATAAGCAATGGACGTCAGCCAGAACACAAACATACACATATTACATTATAGCGATGCAATGACGTAGGGATTAGCCTGAAAGTGAAATGTATGTTTTCAGAAAGATTTCTATATTCAGGTGGTCTTTATTACATTCCTAATTAACCATTATCAAGACAGATGTGACAACTGAAGTCCTCTGCGCTGTTGACCCTCTCATCAGTGACTTACATTTGGAACCTCAAAGACTCGAAAAAGAAATGATCAAACAAGAGAGGAGGCAGAAATTCATTTTTCCCACCCATCAATCTGCGCACTACTCATAAATGTCAGCCTTTGGGAAATTGAATGGCACCATTTGTCTGTGTTTATTAGGCTGGGATGAACTCGGTCTCAATGACCTTTCAGAGTACATACCCTCGCCAAGTTAATTGAGGATAAGTCAAACCTGGAGTTCCTATGACTGGCAAAGCCTGAGCACTAAAATCCCTGCAGACTCATCGCCTCACAAAAAAAATGTGGAAATGTAGAAGGGAAGATCATCACGAGAAAGGCTGGAGTCCATTGGGAGGATGTCATTTTTTTATTACTTAAATGCCCAGTCTTAAATGCCAAAGTTCAAGAATCCCACACATCATTATTGAATTGTGGCGCGTCGTCTTCAGAAGTGACTTTGGGCAGGTTTTTTTTGAGCAGATCAAGTTAATACATTTTCAATAAACAAATCAATATATGTGTGGTGTCAGTCAACTGCTGCCATGGGAAACACCCAATCAGAGGGTCCAAGCTTAGATATTGTTTCCACAAATACATAAAAAAATGTTTTTTATCCTCCCTTTGGTGACATTGTAGTGATGAGAACTCAAATTTCAGTTCAACTTTAAAGCTGCAGCGTTCAAACTTTACAAACAAAGCCAACAAAAAGTTATGAACTCCTTAACACTTCTATACCGCTACCGCCGCCAATGTGTGAAGGTGCTCTGAGCAGCTTTAAATTCAGTCCCTCTTGCCTCCAATAAATTGAATGTTATCTGCATATTTCACTGTTTACATTATTTACCAACCAATTTGTTTCATGACAAATTGCTTGGAAGTTTTTTTCCAGAGCCGCCTGCAGCCACTGCCAGTAAAACAGAAATGTGTCACACTGACAAAAAGGCTTTGATTGCAAGTGATGTCCCCACCAGACACCACCACTCAAATGCCCCCAGCGTCTGTCAATATCCATCACAAAGACTGCTCTTGTTTACAAAGTGTAGCTGCTCTCACTTGACTGGGTACTAAAAAAATCACTATAATATTCATACAGTGACCTTATCATGGTGTCCTATCTCCAACATAATCACTTAAATATCTCTAAAATGTTGTATTTTTGTTTCTGCTGACATCACTGTTCAATCCCAGTGGCACTTATTTTTTGTGAAATCAGTCTAAAATCTACTTTAGTGCCAGTACAAAGTAGGCTACAATATCCATTTATATATGATCTAAATCGTGTTTCACACCACAAATAAACAGACACTGCAAAATTCTAGGACAAAAAGCTGCATCAATATTTTAGTCATGGCTATTGTGAATAAATCAAGCACCCAGCTGTCTGTTTGGTGCTCCTTGTCTTGTCACACTGGCTCTGTGCACTCACAGGCACGTCCTTGGACTCCTTCTGAATGTTATCATACACAGTGGAATGCATGGTTATAATTGTGGTTCTCAAAGTGTGTTATGAGGGCCTTCTCCATTACCTTTAAGTGGTCCCCCAAGTCAGATGAACATGTATTCATTTTAACATACAGCCCCTAAATATGTAGGGGGAAAAAGGACATAGATGATAACAAGTTTCACTCTGAATGCTATGATTTCAGTGTAAACAGACAACATGATGTTTGAGACCCTTGGCCACCATGTGATGTAATGAAAGTCTGGGGTACAAAGAATACATGCCTACTTGAGGGGCCCCTGACATGAAAATGTTTAAAAAGTCCCATGCCTGACAACATCCACCGCGCATCTAGTTGGATGATGCAGAACAACCACACCAGTGCCTTCGTCTCTAAGAGCCACGCAGTGTGCTGCTGCAGGCAGTCTCCTGCAAGAACAATAACTTGTTTCTGGTGATGTGCGCTGTGGCTGGAGTGATGGATGGTGGAAGGTGACAAAGAGGGGGATGCTATGGTGGGGATGGTACATGAAACAGCGGGTCGTGTAGGGACGGGACAAGGATGGGATAGGCTACTTACGCTGCTGTTCTCTCCTGTCCAATGGACCATCGCCTGGTTGTGGGTCGCATCCCCCTTGAGCACAAACGAGCTGCTGAGGAGGGACATTTGTTTTTCCCGGGACAGAGCTCTCCTGGAGCGGGGTGAGTTCTCCGCGTCTAAAGCTTCCTCGTTACCGACCGTCGGTAAGCCTGGCGGGGAGCCTCTGTCTCCGCCACCTATGTCAAACGTACGATCCTCCCCGCTGCGCCGGTTTAAAGCCCCGCTGTCACCGCGCACGGGTCCCGGCAGTGACATCCAGGCCGAGGCGATCAACAGAAAGACGCAGAGGTGTGCTGCGGCGAAGACCGGTTTTTCTGGGCGCAGAGATGCCATGCTTTGCGCCGTAGTAGCGCTCGTATCGCGGAGACTGATGGAGAGACTGCTGATGCTTTTGGAAGATAGATAGGTGTATACTGTAAGCCGAGAAAGTGAGCGAGAGAGCGAGAGAGAGAGTGCGAGAGATGGAGGGAGGGGGAGCGAAGGCAGACAGTGTGAACAACGTGGACTCGTCCCTGTGCCAAGCAGGATCCATAGGACGGCGCAGCGGTGCCATCTACTGTCCTGCAGCTGCAGTGTCCTACGACTGAACTCATCACTCAGTCTAACCTCATGGAGAGTCACCACATGAGGAATTCACATTTTAAATATGAGATATGACATATTTCAAACATCGATTATCAGTTATAGCACATGCAAGTGTCTGTGGCTGATTGTTATTCTTTTGGCACAATCATCAAGGAAAATTCTCAAAACACTGTGTGCAATTCTCAAAACATAGATCATTTTCTCACAATACTGTATGCATTTCATTTTGCTTTCACACATAATATATTAAAATTATCCTGATCCAATGATACACTGTCTTGGTGATAACAATATGCACTGTATTACTGGCAGACATATCCATTAGCATGCTTGTTCTGTAAATATGGAGAAGTGATAATCAGTGAATCTTAAGATGTCAATAAATAACAAGTTCATCCTGTCATTTTACTGCAAATGATTGCAATTTAGTTTACAGGTGCTATTCATGTGCTGTGATTTTTGAAGGGGCCAGAAAAAAAACTGGTGATGCTGTTTCGACCTCAGCTTCTATGGCTTCTGCGTCTGTGAACCCATGGTTGAATCATTTTTATTTTTAGTGTGTGTTGAATCCCAGACATCATAAGGTAACAATACAACAGCTCCAGGAGAGCCTGTCAGTGAAGAGTAATTTGTTTAAGCTTTTAGTCCACATCTATTTAGAGACCTTTAGTTGCCCCTGAATTCTCCCTGGGTTTGTTTCAGCTTTTAAATATATTCCAGCATTTTTCTTTGCTCCATATTTAAAAGACAACTATCCAATGACCTAAAGCAGTTAGAAACACTCACCCAAAAGACACAGCCGAACTATGTTTGCATGCTATCAGTCCACTCATCCTCTTCACTACCTGTGCATTGGTGGTCAAGTAGTCAAGAGGTCATAGTTCATATTTGATCCCACTAAGTAATAGGTCTCCTCTGTGTCTGTCTTCTTATCCAATTATAGGTAAAGGGTGGATTAACCCATAACTCGGTGGGTCAGGATTGGTAGGGGTCAGGTGTCTCTTCAGGTCAAATAAAAAGGATTTACTTTGGATTCATGTTGCTATTAAGCTGCGGCTGGCCATAAAATCCCAATGATTGTTTTTCTATTCTAGGTAGACTGTTAGTTTTACTGATCACAGAGTAAAGAATGTAACTGACAGGATTAACCTGCCACACCAATGTGGGTTTACGTTAGGGACTATGATAACATTTTGTACCAACAGCACCGTACTTTGCAGTTCCAAGCAGGATGATCATGTGTTGTGGGAAAGGTGAAATGATGCCTTCAGTCGTCACAAATTTAACTTTTAAACTAACAGATTTGTTTAAATATCAGGGGAAGTGACCTAAGGGCTCAGACCCATAAGTCCCAGGTTCATTGTGTGGCAGTTCATTTATGGTAATTTGATTAATATGAACTGTGCTGATCTTGCATCCTTGTCTTATGGTTAGGGTCAACAAATATGAAGTCATGAATTTGATCAATATTCATTCCAGGAATTACTCCAATCTCTTCATATGAACTTGAATGGTGACTGCAATGAAAGGGGTCTACGACCCATATTACAGGGGTCAAGACTTGTAAGCAGTTGCACTGATTTCAGTGCATATGAGTTGTGGTTCCTGAATTCAAAAAGTAGAGCGTTTTGATATATGCTGCCTACGCACAAAAAGGTTACATACGCTGGTTTTCACGTACACGTATGATGTATGGAAACGGCGCACAGAGTGCACTGAGACGTGCACAAACAGATCTCCCTTCTTACCTCGACTCACCCTGCACATCTTCAGCACCTGCACATAAAGCTGTGTAAATTAAAAATGTCTGGAAATAAAGCCAGTGACAGCTCTCTCGCTACTCTCCATCCTTATTACCAGTCCTAATCATGATGCAGGCCAAACATAACAAAACCAACATGAAAAATGTGTTCACCTGTCAAACCTCCATCTTCACTTGATATCCCAGGATGGGGGATACCACTGACGATCAAGCGATCATTTTGGCAAGATGTGAAGTACTGGAGGCATTTCCTTGTTGGCTTCGAGGGACCTGTTTGCGTCCCTGTTTTGCTTCGTTGGCCTCGGATCCATGCTTCCCCATTTCTCTGTTGTTGGACCCCTTTGGATACTGAGGTATATAGTTAGTTTTTGGGATCTGCAGTGTGGGTGCAGGGCAGGGCTGTGCTCCGGTTTGTTCTGGGTTTGTGCCTGGAGTTCTCGGCCCTTGACGGGTGGGTGGGTTGGTGGTGGCATGCAGCTGAGCTGGTTGATTTTGCCTCGTTGCTGGTTTGGCTGGTGTTGCACGGCGGCCGGGGGGCGTGCTGGGCATGGGGGATGTTGGCTGCCGCCGGCGGCCTTAGTTTTTTCCAGCGGTTGGGGGGACGGCGGACTTTTATTGGCAGGTGCACGGTGACCTGTGCGGCACATTTGCTGCCGGGCTGGGACTTGCTGCTGGTGTTTCTCTCTGCTGGCTTTCGCTGTCGTGTTATTCTGCTTGCTCTCTCTCGTTTGCCCGACCTTGCATGCGGGATTCGCAGGGGGCTGCTGGGCATTGGGTGTCGCCATGCTCGCGCAGTGTGCGCGTTGGGCTCGTCACTTGTGCATTGGTATTGATGATTGCATGGCATTTGGGCGTTTTGAGCATTGGTCTATGTTGTGTCCGCACCGGGCGCTGCTCTTCCACGGGTTACGCTTCTTGTGTTCCATCGGCATTACGTTGTCAACTGGCATTTGGGTCGGGGTCTTCCGCGTTTGCATCGTGGTGCATCTGGGAGTCTTTGTTTTGTTGATTGATATTTTTTTTTTTTTCTTTCTCCAATCCCTATTGGCTACTGGGGTTCTTGCCTGCCTGTTGCTGGGGTAAGTGTGGCACAGTCGTGGCATCCCGCTCTCACCAACAACTACATTCTTTAACAGGCTTATGCGCACACACATGTACACACATACATACAGACACATTCACCCACACGCCCACAGACACACACAGTCTCACACATAGACACAAACAAATTTAGGTTGTCCCTGGTAGAATTATTCCTGATGCTTTTCTTTCAGTTACTTATTTAAATTAATTGTTATTATTCCAGCTCTCGTGGCTGTGCTGTGTTGCTTATTTAGTGTGCTGGACTGTTTCTTGTTTTTCATTTTTCTCTTAGTTGTCATACTATGTCAGCTGTTTATTGCTGCTGTTCGGCTGGTTGTCTTTTACTATTATTAGTATTTTTATTGTTTGTTTTTGTTTGTGTTTGTTTGTTGTTGTTTTTCTCCTCCCCAAGCCCCCCTCTCTGTTCTATTGAAGGTTTCGTTGCTTTCTGCAATTGGTGTTTCCCACTGCTTTTCCCTTTTGCCCCCACCTTCCATCCCCCTTCTCTTACAGGTCTTGTCCTTTGTCTGTGCTGTCTGTTTGTGCCCCCCCATCCCCGTGTCTGCTCCCCTGTCCGGCCCGGTGACAAATCAATACATAATTAAATAAATAATAAAACAGACAAAGGAGTATATTAATACTCTCTTGTTAAAGTAAAATCTGTCTGGCACAATATGGTATCCAGGTCATCATACTCTATACCAGGCTGCTGGGCAGAACAGGTTTAAAAAAAATATTTTTAAAAAAAGATGTGAAGTACTCTGTACGATTGCTGTAAACAGATAAATTATGCATGCCACTCGTGTGTTATGCTGCATGGCTGCACTATGGCACTGCAGAGGACAATGGAAATGGAAATCTTGATGACTGGCTAATACTTTGATTTATATTCCCTCTCTTGATTTAGATTGTACTCTCTGATCTGGGTCCAGCATTAGATAGACCAACCTGAAGGAACCGTGCCATCTCGGTACAAATACAAGTAGGCTATAACCACTGTATCTGGCAGCCGGCTGTTAGCAACGGGAGCCGACAGGTGTGTTTCTGATGTGATCAACAATTTATAGTGTTTACCTTTCTTCCTAAAGCCTTTCTTCAGAATAATTCTAATTCTATTAAACTCTCTGAATGTTCTTTTGTTTGTGAACAAGCTGCATCAAACAATATGTGCTTTATAACTTCCACCTCACAACCACTTTGATTTATCCACTTTATTTCAGACAATGTTTTCTTTATTTCAGTCATTATGAGTCTCTGACCGGGCTGCACTGACTGCCATTGTGACTCTCTCACTCATTTTGCGTTTTGTTGCTGATCCAAGAGTTCAAATCATGAAATAAAAATTATTTATTATTATTATATTGTTTTGCAGTAAAATTGGCCAATGTTTCTAGGACCTTGGGAGGTGACATTGGCATGTTTACGGTAATTTGCATTGTCATTTATGGGAGGAACCAAGGCAGGGTATGTGGCTCATGCATGTGCGCTCAATTTCACGTTGATTGGGATTTATAAAGGAAAGATGCGCAGTTCCTGGCATATGCCTGGTTTTATATACACTGAACAAAATTAGAAACGCAACACTTTTGTTTTTGCTCCCATTCATCATGAACTCAAAGATCTAAGACCTTCTCTATGTACCCTATGCTGGCCACAATAAATCGAGTTCATTTGTAAAACCAATGAAAGCCTTTCTGAATATAAGATAATTTGTAGCAAACACAACAAGAACCATGATTTAAGATAATAAACAAACAGAGATTTTGTTTTTGCAAAAGAACGCCTCAAATGTGTTGCACAGTATCAGGAATTATATTATATTTATATTAATACTTGAATGCAGTGCAACTTATTCTCATAAATGCTCCGTAAAAATGTAAATGCACTGTACTTGTATAGCGCCTTTCTAGTCTTTTCGACCACTCAAAGCACTTTTACACTGCATTCACCAGTCACACACTGAGCCTAAGTGCTCAAACGGAAACTAACATTCACACTCACTCATACACTGGCGGAACAGCTGCCAGGGGCAAATCGGGGTTCAGTATCTTGCCCAAGGACACTTTGACACGCAACCAGGGGGAGCCAGGGATTGAACCACCGACCTTCCCATTAACAGCCAACCCGCTCTACCTCCTGAGCCACAGCCGCCCAATAATAAAGTGAACAGTAGGACAAATTCCATTTAAATTGATGCCATTTTTGTTGCCTCGGTCGAGCAAATAAGAGTGCATAGTTTCATATATTGTTATCAACTAATCCTTTCCTTACGGTGTTTCAGACAAATGGTATGGAAAAGTATAACACTATTGATTACATCTTTCAGTGTACCACGAGTGGAGTGGACTGTTAGAGTAAATAAATGTTTAAACACAAGTGGAATGTATTTGGTTTACTCTCTTTTCAAATGAGGAAATCCAAATTACGTACCTGGGTTGTCCAGTCTTGCTATACGTGTCCACCTCCACCACTGTCACTACTCAGGAGGGATGTGTCTTCCTGCAGATTGGTAATCAAGGGGCAGGAGCTCCGGTGCACAAGCATTTTGTGCGTGTGCACATTTGACCCACCAAGCAACATCATTTTTCTGGCTTCGACCTCACTAAAAAGAACTTTGATGTCATGGGCATTGCTCAACATGCAGCTCCACAGCTGACACCTCCGCACAGCAACACTGACACTCTCTGGACAAACTGCAAGGAACCGGGGGCCCTTAAAATCAACATTGACACCAAGAGCGCGAATTCAATCCCCCACTTCAATAAATTATGCAGTTGAGATTCCCACATTTGGGGAATTTGCAGGGGTAAGCACAACTAGAGTGCAATAACTAAGCCTCACCCTGGGTGAACAATTCCATTTTTAGAAGTTTATTATGTCCAGCACAGAATAATATCTTTCCAAAAAAATACGACATGCAACAACGACAATAATATATCTGTACTGTTCTCATGTAAAATGAAACAGCAAGCTCATTTCTCCAACATCTTCTCCAATGAACAAGCCACGTGTTGTACTTGGCAGAATTTATTTGAGAAAAAGTAAAACTGAAAGTAACAGGTAAATATTACATAATTGTTGTTGAAATAATGAAGCTAACAATACTCAGGTATGCTAACTTGTTAGTTCTGGTAAGTACATCATCAATGCGCTAAATACACTGCTCAAAAAAATAAAGGGAACACTTAAACAACACAATGTAACTCCAAGTCAATCACACTCCTGTGAAATCAAACTGTCCACTTAGGAAGCAACACTGATTGACAATCAATTTCACATGCTGTTGTGCAAATGGAATAGACAACAGGTGGAAATTATAGGCAATTAGCAAGACACCCCCAATAAAGGAGTGGTTCTGCAGGTGGTGACCACAGACCACTTCTCAGTTCCTATGCTTCCTGGCTGATGTTTTGGTCACTTTTGAATGCTGGCGGTGCTTTCACTCTAGTGGTAGTATGAGACGGAGTCTACAACCCACACAAGTGGCTCAGGTAGTGCAGCTCATCCAGGATGGCACATCAATGCGAGCTGTGGCAAGAAAGTTTGCTGTGTCTGTCAGCGTAGTGTCCAGAGCATGGAGGTGCTACCAGGAGACAGGCCAGTACATCAGAGACGTGGAGGAGGCCGTAGGAGGGCAACAACCCAGCAGCAGGACCGCTACCTCCGCCTTTGTGCATGGAGGAGCAGGAGGAGCACTGCCAGAGCCCTGCAAAATGACCTCCAGCAGGCCACAAATGTGGGTGTGTCTGCTCAAACGGTCAGAAACAGACTCCATGAGGGTGGTATGAGACTCTGCGTGGAGAACGTTCTGCTGCCTGCAACATCCTTCAGCATGACCGGTTTGGTGGTGGGTCAGTAATGGTGTGGGGTGGCATTTCTTTGGGGGGCCGCACAGCCCTCCATGTGCTCGCCAGAGGTAGCCTGACTGCCATTAGGTACCAAGATGAGATCCGCAGACCCCTTGTGAGACCATATGCTGGTGCGGTTGGCCCTGGGTTCCTCCTAATGCAACACAGTGCTAGACCTCATGTGGCTGGAGTGTGTCAGCAGTTCCTGCAAGAGGAAAGCATTGATGCTATGGACTGGCCCACCCGTTCTGGGAGGAGATCCCTCAGGAGACCATCTGCCACCTCATCAGGAGTATGCCCAGGCATTGTAGGGAGGTCATACAGGCATGTGGAGGCCACACACACTACTGAGCCTCATTTTGACTTGTTTTAAGAACATTACATCAAAGTTGGATCGGACTGTAGTGTGGTTTTCCACTTTTGAGTGTGACTCCAAATCCAGACCTCCATGGGTTGATAAATTTGATATCCATTAATCATTTTTGTGTGATTTTGTTGTCAGGACATTCAACTATGTAAAGATAGGAGTGTTTAATGAGATTATTTCATTCATTCAGATCTAGGATGTGCTATTTTAGTGTTCCCTTTATTTTTTTGAGCAGTGTAATAGCATGAATGACTAATTAAACTACATTATTCCACAGGTTCCTAAATAAATAATAAATACTTACTGGCAATGCCACACTAAGACAGCAGAATAAGTTGTTGGTTGAGAGAACTGTCAGGTTCCAACATGTGCTCTTCAGTTTACACTCAATATGGCTGCCCTCATGTTAAATAACTACTTCAAAATAAAATGATCAATTTCAAAATAAAAGTCTTTTCTCAAATGTCTTAGTCATAGACATCCATCGTCAGCATACAGGGTCGTGGGGGGCTGGAGCCAATCCCAGCTGACATTGGGCGAAAGGCGGGGTACACCCTGTACAGGTCGCCAATCCATCGCAGGGACAGACAACCACGACATTGCTAACCACTGCACCGCCCCTATTACAATACCAATCTTTTCTAAATTTTCTCACTATAAACAGATTAAACATTATCATACAACTGTCTTTTAGGAACTCTCCACATTAACAGTTTTCTTTTCTTTTCTATTGTTGATTTGTCTTTTAACATATAATCACTGATGTTTAACATAGATCTTATAACCATTTCTTGTGGAACACAAAGTTTACTCATTATACCTACATTTCTGGCTTTCCATAAACTTTCTTTTACAAAGTTGATGATAGCCCACCATTTTTTAATGTTATCTGTGGGATTTCTTTGCAAACTACCATGAGATATGTCCTCATAGCAACCAGCAGGTTTGTACAAAGCTTGCAACTATGGTGATACAAGTATACCATACCCATATAGCGGTGGGACATGACCAAAAAAAGATGTTGCACAGTTTCATTGTCACCACAGGAAGGCCTAGGGCACTTAGCACTGCGGATGCAGTTTCTCCTCTCAAGAAAAGCTCTGGTGGGCAAACACTAGTGAATGACTTGCCAAGCCAAATCTTTATGGTTATTGGTTAGGATAGAGTGATTGACGTTAGCCCATACAATTTCTGAAACCTCTTCCCTTAGTTTGTCCAGAGTAGTTAATCTTGAGTGGAGTGGGGACAGAACCTTTTGTATTGCTATTCTCGTGATTTTGTCGTATGGTACTTGAGATGCACCTTTTTTTAGACATGAAAAGACTGTCTCATACATTTTCGGCCATGTTTGCGCATATGGGATGGTTTGTGGTGGCCTTTTCCCCCATGCTCTAAGCACACCCCACCCCACCCAAAACAAGGCAATATGAACCCAACTTGGAGCAACTTCAGGCTTCAGACAGGCTTTAATAATTGGGGTCACAAACATAGACTTTAGTTTACTTTCCATATCAGGGACACCTTTTCCCCCCTTCTCTAATGGTCGGTACATTATTTCACGTTTTAGTTTTTCATGTTGTCCATTCCATATAAACTGGAAAATAATCTTCCTAAGTGTCACCATAAACATGTGTGGCACTGGAAAAGTTGTTGCCAAAAAAGTCAAGGAGGGCAAGATGTCTGCTTTTAGAACCAGCACTTTCCCCACCATGGTTAGATCCCTGTCTTGCCACTGTAGGAGCTTTCCTCTTATTTTGGGTAATTTTGACTCCCAATTGGTGTTTTCCATATCTTTCCCTATATGTATTACACTTTGATTGTCTCTTTTTTCTGTATGACGCCTAGATTTTCCACTGGTTCTCTCCATTAAGGTAGAGTATTTTTATTGACTTTTGTTCCTGATGCTGCAGTAAAATTGTCACACAAAAGCAAGGTATTTCTTACTGATCTATTATCTGTCAGGAGGAGAGTAAGGTCATCCATGTATAGACTGAGTTTTGCCTCCCTGCCTGCTGCCCCCGGTATTGGGAGGCCTTTGATGTTTTTTTCCTGCCTTAAAGCACACGCGAGGGGCTCGATTGCGAGGATAAACAGGGCAGGGGAAAGAGGACAACCTTGTCGTACACCTGATTTTACTTTGAATGGAGCTGTGCATCCCCCATTTACCACAACGGTGCTATTAATGTCGGCATACAGCAGGTCTACCCAATCTCTAAAATTGTTGCCAAAATTAAGATGGGACAGAACAGCTTTAAAGTAGTGGTGGTTAATACTATCAAAGGCCTTCTCCAAATCTAGTCCCAGGATACATAGAGAGATGTCACGATCTTGGGCAAACAAAAAAGAGTCTCTAACTAAAGCTAGGCTGTCGGCCATGGATCGGCCTGGAACCCCACACGTTTGGTCTATACCGACCAGTTGATGAACTACTGGTTGCAGTCGGAAAAAAAGGGCCTTTGACAATATTTTAATGTCGACTCCGAGCAAGGTTAAAGGCCTCCAATTTATCAAGTCCTTCCTGTCTCCCTTTTTGAAAAGAAGGGAGATGGAGCCTGTTCTTAACGAAGGTGGTAGTATGCCTCTAGAGAAACTCTCCTTGAACACTTGCAACAAAGGGGCTTTTAGCTGGTCCCAAAAGGTGTTGTAAAACTCTTTGGGTAAACCATCCAAACCAGGAGATTTTTTATTCTGCATGCTCTGCATAGCTTTTGTTAACTCATTAATTGTCAAGTCTCTCTCCAGAAGATCTCTTTCTGAATTTTTTTAGTTTCATGGTTAAATGAGACAAGAAAAAATCAATTGACTGTTCAGAAATGGCCTTCTCTTGATAAAGATCTCTGTAAAAGGACTTGACAACACCAAGTATGCCTTGAGGGTCACTCTCCTCCTTTCCCTCCCTGTCCAACACACCTTCAAAACAGTGCCTAGACTTGACCATTTTATTAAAAAAATAGCGAGTACACTTTTCATTCTCTTCTAGGTGTTGTACCCTGCTCCTTGTGAGCACCCCTTTACTCTTTTCATTGTACAACTTAATCATACATTTTTTAAGTTTTGCTATGTCCTCATTCACCTCAAAACCAGACAATGACAGAAGATAGTAGCGTTGCAACTTGGCTTGCAGCCTTTTTGAATAGCTCGTTTCTTTGCCGCTGCTTTTTTACCTTCTCTCATGAAGAAAGCCTTGGTTTTTTGTTTGACATCCTCCCACCATTCTCCCAAGGAATCAAACAAAGGCTGCAAAGTGAACCATTGATGAAGCTTGTCCCTGTATCTTGTCACCACTTCTGGGTTGTCTAATAAACTAGTATTGAGTTTCCAGATACCTGGTCCGGACCTATACGAGCCCTGAATTTCTAAGGAACAGTTAAGTTTGTGGTGATCTGAGAAAGGAAACGGTTCAATTGTGCAGGTGAGTGGTGTGACACCCGATGTGGTAAACAAAAAGTCTATACGAGAGTAGGTTCTTCCATTTGTCCATGTATAACCTGGTGTGGAGGGGTTTGTTCGTCTGTAGGCATCCACTAGTTTACCGTCCTTAATAATATTCAGGAGTGTGTGTGAACTAGAATCGAGTTTCACTGTGGAGGTAGACCTTTTATCTGCTATGTCCACGATGCAGTTAAAGTCACCCCCAATTATAACTTCCCTCCCACAGTGTGTTAGGGTTCGGATGGCCTG